GCACATGGTAGTTAGCTAGCCCGCGACCGTAGCTGAATTCCTCAAGCTCGCGGATAAATTCATGAGAACAGAGGAGGAGATCAACCAAAGGACCGAAAGCGGGATCGAGAAAAGGAAGAGAGAAGGCGAGCCCTCCAACCTAGATGACAGAAGAAGGAAAGATCCAACTCGGGAGACGAAACCGAGCCAGCCRTTCCGAGCTCCCTTAGCAGCTCAGACGGACTACACACCCTTAAACGCGAAGCGGGCTGAGATCTTGATGACGATCAAAGATGCCCCGTACGTAAAATGGCCATCTCGCCTAAAAGGGAACCCAAACGAGAGGAACATAAACTTGTACTGCAGTTTCCATAGAGACCACGGTCATAGAACATTGTAATAATCTCCGGGACGAGATAGAGGGACTCATCCGTCGCGGGTACTTGAGAAATTTTGTATAGCATAATAATAATAATAAGACAGGTCGGCAAGGGGAGCACGGTAAGGATGCCCCCGAGTCCAGCAACAGGCCAGCCGAGCCATCGCAAAGACAACATCTGGAAGAGAGGCTAGTTTGGGGAACCATCCACGTGATAGTGGAAGGTTCGATGGTAGCGGATTGTACTTCGGCAGCAGCCCGGGCGTCAGTTCGCGAAGCTGCCGAGAAGAACAGAACCCTCCGAAGAGGCCGAAGAAGGAGGAACCGATTTTCTTCATGGAAGACGATGCGTGAGGGGTCCACTACCCCCACGATGATGCGCTTGTCATAAAACTAAGGATCAACAACTTCGAAATCAGGCGCGTACTTGTTGATTCAGGCATCTCGGTGGACATTCTCGTCAAGTCGGCGTTTGACCAGCTTCAGTTGTAGAAAAGCGAGTTGAAGCCTGCAAACACTCCTCTGGTGGAAGTCGGCACATGGCCCTGTGCGATCAGACTTAACCACGATTTCCTGGTGGTCGCGACCCCCTCCCCATACAATGCCATAATAGGGCGGCCAATCACTCATKTCCTACGGGCRGTRGTCTCCACCTWCTACTTGGCAATGAAGTTTCCTACAGACTTCGGTGTGGGGGTAGCGCGGGGCGACCAACTTGAGTCCCGCAAGTGCTATGTTGCCGTCCTAAAGGGAAAAACAAAGGTGGCTGACGACCTCGAACTGGAGCGGCCTACGGAGCAAGGCAAAGAACGAGTTTCGCCCATAGAAGAAACAGTCGCAATCCCAACTTCAGCTGCGGACCCGGCTCGGACACTACAGATCGGTGCTTCCCTAAGGAACCTCTATGAACCGAACTGGTGAGTTTCTTACTTCAAAATTTAGATATTTTTGTATGGTTCGCAGCCGATATGCCCGGTATTGACCCCAGCCTTATAACTCACAAACTTAATACTGACTTTGTAGTCACACCCATTAGACAGAAGAAACACAACTTAGCCCCAGAGCACTGGAGGGCGGTCGATGAGGAGGTCGAAAAGCTCCTTGCAGCAAACTTCATAAGGGAAGTTCATTACCCGAGCTGGGTAGCCAACCCAGTGTTGGTAAAAAAGGCAAACGACAAGTGGCGCATGTGCGTCAACTACACCGACCTGAACTGAGCTTGCCCGAAAGATTGCTTCTCCCTCCCCAGAATTGACCGCCTAGTGGACGCGACCTTGGGACATGAGTTGCTAAGCTTCTTGGATGCCTACTCGGGCTACAACCAAATCAGGATGGACCAGTCCGATGAGGAAAAAACCACCTTCATAACCGAGTTCGACCTGT